CTCGAACTCACAGAGATCCACCTGCTGGGATTAAAGGCATGTGCCACCAACGCCCAGCCTGCTGCTTTCTTTTTTATGTCAGCCTAATCTCCCTTTCTAAGGAGCTTGGTCTTGGGATATTTCCATACCTCTAGCCCTATTTAAAATATCACTTCAACATGAATCATCAACATTTGACATCCTTCTTTAATGCAAAATAAGACTCATGTTACTTTAACCAGATAAGAAAATACACAAAACAAAATAAAACTTAAATCACCTATGTATTCTTCCTCATTTATCCAACTCTTCTACCACTTCTACCTGTAACCTCAAAAATAATCTCTGCCAAATTGTTGGTATGTATGTTTCCAGTACTTTCTATTCCTATCTCATTATGAATCAGATAGCATTTAAAGAGATATTCTTGAACTCATGCTTCTAAATCATTTTGCCTGTGTTTCAGAGTACCTTGCTCTGACACTGTGACATGAACTTAGCACCAGTCATTTTGATCATCTATTGACATTTCCCCTAGTTCTTGATATTATAAATGAGCCACATACATCTTTTTATCACTGTGCAATTTTACAGGTATGCCTTCGGTGGAAGTTCTGAGGTTCCAGATTTCAGATACTACTAGAAATCACCATTGTCTCCCAGAGAACATTCATAAACTGCATGTATGAAAATACTTTGGTAAGGAGGTAGATTATCCAATGAGATACAACCATGGAGTATTTGAGTTCAAAAGACCAACCCCAAGAAAATGCTAGAACAAGTGAAGAGGATCCCCGTGGAAGACAATCCACCTGTCATTTCAGTAGTAGGACTCCAAAGTCAGAAGCACTAACCTGAAGCAGCAAGCAATATAAAGAGGAAATGGAAAGAAGGCATGGCTCACTGGAACTAGGGCTCCGGCAGCTTTGGATGCTGTCTGTGCTCCAGCCCTCGCTGGATGACTTCTAAAGAGTCCACATTGTTGGTGTGGAGTCACCATGTGAAACCACTGTCTCTAGGCACCATGTACACACTTCCCTGATCTGTAATGTGACACCCTCTCTGCTTAGCACTAAAGCTCCAGCGAAGGGATTTACTTAAGTCGGGTAGGAAAAAAAAATATCTGATTCTGGGGTCTGAGGTAGAGATGGGTGTTTGGGATGGGGATCGGGGGTGGCAGCATTAGTGGGGACTTTTCAGGAAATGAGCTCACTTGGCTCATGAAGACTTGAAAGGATTTCATTCACTAGTGACCCCACCCCACACTGTCCTGTCCTGCTTGGTGTGTTCGTTACGCCCAGGCTTAAATCAAGAGCCAGAGTCTCAATTTACAGGATTTGCAGAGGGCTTTCAAGATGCTAAGCGGACCAGATTAGAGATAGAATTCATAAACAGCATGAGAATGGCTAAGAGCTAGCTGAACGTTATGAAGTTCAAGTTGAAACCTGGGCAGTAGGAGACCCAGATCTAAGAGTTCAAATGGCAAAGACTTGGCTGCTTGGAGAGTTAACATAAAAATACCTGGAAAAGGCAGCAAAGTGGTGGCCTCCAAACTAACTGTGGACTGTGGATTATGTTTTTATACTCATAAAGCTCAAAAATTTGTGGTTCAGTAACATTTGATTGTCCCAATACCTTACAGTTTGCCAGAGTTCCTACCCCTCCCTATCACACCCCATTGCTTCTCACAAATCCATTCCAGGCTCCTGTAGGGAGCCATGTTTGCAATTTGTGATTTAGCGATTTCAATCAATTGCTGTCTCTACAGGAGTCAACTGTTGTCATGGTTACTGGAATAGGATTATGCAATCTCATGTGTGTTCAACAGAAGGATGATGTTGAGAGCAAGGGATGCTGTGTTTGAACCCGAATTTGACCTGCTGTAGATGGCTCGTTGGCTTTCAGAGGGACATCTACAAATGGTCAGGAAATGCTCACATGGGGTGGTTCCAAGCCATGTACTATGAGAGCTATGGAAAAGAAAACAAGACTTACGGGGAAACTTGGATTTGCATTTTCGTCTCTAGCTCTGCTGAATATTCCTTAATGAAGCTACTATACTCTTGGGTTTTTAAGTTGTGAGCCTTGGCCTTTAGTGACTGACCATAATTATAGCCTCAAAGCCTGGTTATTTTGCTTATACTCGGACTATTGTAATACCCTAACTCCCTAGGCCGACCCCTCCTCTGACCCACATCCAATTCAACACTTCCAAAATGTTCTGAGTTTGTATACCTGTAGGTGGACCCAAGCAGCGCCACCTGGTGGTGCCTGGACTAATTACCTGCCTGCCTTTCCCACAGGTGCCGGCCTCCCCTCCAGTGTGGCTTCAGAGCGGTGATTTCTGAGGTCTAAGCGCACTGCTCTCCTTGCCCCACACTGACCTTTCTGCTCTCACACGTGCCGCATTCACATCCGCCTCCCAGTTCTTGCTTAAGTGCTATTTGTTCTTTGAATTCCTCTCCCAAGTCTTAGCATAGCTGTCACATGAAATATCTCATCTCAGATGTCAGCTCTCCAAGGGCCCTTCCTTGTCCCTTGACACCTTTTTGAATGGTGACTTTCTAGCTTTATGTAGCATCTTTTATCGGTTCCTGGAACAATTTATTTGCAAGCATACCTAGAGCATAAGCTCCTCTTCAAGAACTGTAAATCCTAGCAGGGATTCTGGGTAATTTCTTTCCAGGTTGGAATCATTGCCCTGAGTAAATATGAATGGACTGGCTTCATGATCCCTGCTAACTTCCCTTCCCCATCTCTGAGACAATGTTAAGCTGGTGTGTAGTCCTTGGCTGATTTAGCCCAAATTATTTCTTCAGCTTATTACGAACACGGCCTGAGACACGAAGATCTCCACACAGTGACTAGTTCCTAGTTCAGCTTTCAGGTCCAAGGACCCCACCAGAGACGTTTCCGGTGTTTCCGGTGTTGGTCCCACCCTTGTCATTTTACCTTATCATCCCTTTTTATTTCTTCAGAGCATTTTACCACTAGCTGAAATCATTTTCTGTGTGTTTGCTGTCAGGCCGTCCCGTGGCACTTTAAGAGAGTTCAGTGTGTGTGTGTGTGTGTGTGTGTGTGTGTGTGTGTGTGTGTGTGTGTTGGGGGTGCAGCTAGGCCAGGGGTGCTGTCCACTACAGCCCCCTGATGTCTGTGTCAGTGCCGGGCAACCACTAGGCATTCAAATATTTGCTGAGAACTGAAAGGCAGACTCCACCCTGGTGGGCGGTCTCCTTGATTATTCCCTATTTTAAGCCAGAGAACATATGGGCTCAGTGAGGGCTTTTATCCCATGTCCTAAGGTCCCACAGCTTGTTAGACATAAAACTAGTATTGAAATCCAACTTGACTTCAAAACTGATGTCTGTGCGTCCTGGGGCTCTTCTTCCCTGGATATTTTTTGTAGACAAATTAAATGCTTCAAGAGTCTGTGACCTATGGGAAATCATAGTCTCAAATGTTTCGGCCTGTTTCATGAAGGAGACATATGCAAACATGAACACATATTCGTATAAATAAAACACCCCTCTCCTCCTACATAAAATTCATCACAACCAACCACATATTTGATTGAATTCAACAGAATTAAGATGCAAAATCAATCACTGTGAAAAGTCCCGGCTGAAGGAATTGCTCTTTTAGGTACCTACCTGTTAAATATAATAACTATGATTTCCACCTAGAGGAAAGCCAGACCTGGAAAGGGTTCTAGCCCACCGGACCAAAGCAGCTCGGTGTAGTGCAGGCCCCTACAGTGTGGACCAGGGGTTACCTGCGTCCTGAGAGTCCAGCATGTTCCCTAAGGTCCATTTCTTGCTACACTAGAGTTTCTACTTCACTTGAATTTCACTATAAAGCTGTGAACGGCACCAGTAGCATTCCCATTTGAGAGATGAGAAAATAAGCACAAACAGGTAAAGTGACTTGACTCAGGCCACCCCACCAGGCTAGAGCAGGAGCCCAGGTGTGTTGTTTGAACACTCCATCTTCATACCTCATTGTTACACATTTTATTCCTGCCCCACGCCGTTTTAGTGCTGAGTTTTGAACCCAGAGTCTCAGGGGCGTTACGCATGTGCTCAACCCTAAGTCATACTCCCAACCTCTTGCTTCATCTAAAGCTCTTCTCCAGGATATTAAAGTATACGAAATCCCATACGTCAAAATTATCAGCACCACCGAGAATCTGTGAGAGTTGTGTGTTAGGTCCCAACTCAAACGTACTGCATTGAAATCAGCATTTGAACAAGGTCCCCAACTAAATGTTATGCACTTAAATAATACAATACTGGTGGCTACAAACACAGGAAGCAGGGGAAGTTGTGCACCTTTTATTGGCTTTCCAGAGGCTTCCTTTCTAAATATCCAGTCCGGTCAGTAACCCGGAGGGACGATGAGAGATGAGACTAACCTATATCCTAGTGTCTGCTGCCGCCTTGTGGTCAAATTCCCATTCTCACCTAGGTCGAATTTGCTCTTCATAAAATAAATGCAGAAATAATGTGCATGTGGTCCAGGAGCTGAACGTTTTAGCCTTGTGCTTTAAAAGTCTTCAACAAAAATTCAAGATATCCCTTTCAGTTACCACAGAGACAGCCAAACAACAGCTTTCCTCTTCGCGCCTGTCCGGTGGGACAACATTCGCCTGCTTGAGAAGTCTAACAGAAAAGCTCAAGACCCAGAGTCTCTTACAGAACTCACGCATGAATGTCTAAATATGATTATCAATTACACTGTGGCTTTTTAGTTCTGAATGTGCCGTTCCCGTGTAGTATTTCACAAGGTCTCATGACATTTCCCACCGTTCTGTCACGTGCATCACTGGAGGTCTCTGAAGTAAAATACGGCCAGTCCCACAGCTGGAAGAGAAGAAGAAAGAGGTTCCAAAACTTTCCTACGTATTTTGCTCCAAACATCCAAAAAGTAGGCAGTGCTCTCAGTCATGGGATGAATTTGTTCAGAAGTTATTAGCTCAAGAGCTAAAGAAAGCCAAAACAGTTATCACAGGTGAAACTGACAGAATGGAGTACCCCCAGCTGTACCGACCTAAACCCCTAAAGCTTGCCTGTGGGAAGATTGGCCAGTACCGAAGAATTCAGCAATCCAAAAGGAAAAATGGCTCATTCAAAGGCAAGGGGATAGAAAGGTAAGCAAGAAGACTCATTGCCTTTCCCATTGGCACTTGGGGTTTTCACTAAACACGATTCCTTAGGATGACTGGAGAAGGTGGTGTCTCCTTGTAAACATTAAAATTTAAAAATCTAGTCTGTATGTGTTCCGGGAAGGAGGAAGTATTGCATTGGGCCAGGATGTAGAGTACTGTCTAAATCATGTTTTGCAATTAAAGCCTCAATCTTAGCAGAGAAAAGGTTTTACTGTCCACCCTAATTTGAGTTTTAATGTGTCTTATGAGATTAATGTCGGTATTAAGTTGATGCTTTTTCAATATCCGCATTTTAGTCTTCTTTTTCCCACACAATGAATATGCAACTTGAAAATATTAATGCATTCCATATACATTCGCAATCAATGCTCTCGGTTCCCTGCTAGATCAACGTTCACTGTTGAAATGCATCCTAATCCCATTTCACCACGGAACACTCTTCAGTCAAAGATCAAAACAGCCTTAGACCTGGCATTTCTTGCCAATGACAAAACCATAAAGGTGTCTCTGTGTGTGTGTGTGTGTGTGTGTGTGTGTGTGTGTGTGTGTGTGTGTGTGTTTCTCTGTGTGTGTATAGTCCCGGGAGCATGCCACTTTTTAATTTTAGAACTGAGTTTGGCAGTTCAGCTTCCATTTTATTTAAGCATCTCCCATAGTAGCCTCATAAGCCACAGCTCTGAGAGAGGGGTCAAGCTTCTACACTTGCAAGTATAAAGTGAACTATTGTAGAGCTGTTCATTTCCACTAAGAAATCAGGGTTTAAAGGGGGAAACAATGTGGGCAAATGAGTCCATTATTAACAAACAAGAACAAAAGCAAACAAACAAAAACCTTCAAAAAGCAAAGTTCCTTTCTATTCCAGACATCACAGGAATTCTTTTCCTAGGTCCTGGAGCAAGCTACCTTTTCTAATCGTGTTATATAAATCAGCAGTGGGTAAAGGCTAGAAGACACAGCATGGGTGTTTATTTGCGGTTTCTGAAGCTGGTCATCTCTGTAACAGCCCAGGCCGGCTTTGTGCTCATTCCTCCTGCATTAGTCTCCTGCGTGCTAAGATGACAGATTTGTGCCACCAGTGTCTGCTTAAGGCAAAGTATTTGTTTTTTTTTAACCTGAGAGGTTCCATGGAGGACCTTCAAGATCCATGGGCATTCTGAAATGTATTTCTATTGTATGTGAAAGTGGCTATGTCCATATTTATAGCAACATAAGTTATAAAACCATTAAAGTTACTCAGAGTCTCAGGCAGGTCCACAGATGGTTGATCCTGGCTGACAGGTTATCTTGGGGCAAGGAAGAAACTGGAGCATCTTCCTCCGGACCCTTTATTGCAACAGACTCAGGGTGCACAGTGACCCCAGAAGGTGCTTATTTCCTTCCTGGCCTTTCTTCCAGGTGGGAGGGGTCCAACCCATGAAGCTGCCCTTCTGTCCCCTCTGGAAAGTACTTCCTCATTTGATTCACAGGCTTGAAAGTCTGTCGCATACTGAAGGCTTTATTAGAAGCCAAACTATTTCCTTCTATTTTCAGATTTCTCCTATTCCCATTTTCAAATGATAAAACTAAATCTTGTAAACAATTAAATAGCACGCCCAAGGATATACAGTCTGAGGGTGTGGTTCTGAGACCAATATGATCAAACTCCAGTGACCACACGCCCACCAGAGTCTCTTCCCGCTGATGATTGTCTCTGACGCTGACAGACCTGTGCCCACTCTAAGCAATGTCTTGCAGGAAGGTGCTACCTGAGATACATTAGGTAGTATAGATGAACATCTTTTTTGTTTGTTTGTTTGTTTTTGTTGTTGTTGTTTTTCGAGACAGGGTTTCTCTGTAGCTTTGGAGCCTGTCCTGGAACTCTCTCTGTAGATCAGGCTGGCCTCGAACTCACAGAGATCTGCCTGCCTCTGCCTCCCGTGTGTTGGGATTAAAGGCGTGGGCCACCAATGCCAGGCTATGATGAACATCTTAATGGTCACTAGTTTCTTTTAACCCAAGTTAGAAACATGTATAACATATAAACATAGTATCATATAGTGTAGCAAAGCAATCATATCATGCTAGGATTTCATGCTGAGGAAATGAAGATTTATGTTCACAGAAAAGCTTATACCCTAATGTTTATAATTTTGTTCATAATAGCTTCCAAATGGAAACAATTCAAATGTCCTTCAATGAGTGGATGGTTAAACACAGCATGTTATACCCGTATTGTGCCGTATCTCTCCGCAACGAAAAGAAAGGAAGCTTTGGCTCCAGAGAATTCTACTAACAAGCATGTCCACCCTAGAGCTGAGGGTAGGGCTTACTAGTTCAATACTCATCTAGCATTCCAAGTATTATTCCACCCCCAGCACCCCCACCCCCAAACAAAACAAAGCTGGGACAAACAGATACTAGAAGCTTGAAATGCTATACAGTGCGTGGATCCATTTAGATGACATTCTTGAAGGAATAAAAAGAAGCCAACTGGAGGACCTGAGTGTGCCTGTGGTGCGTGTGGAGTGTGGAGGTGTGTGCCTGTGGTGTACGTGGGGTGGGGAGGTGTGTGCCTGTGTACGCTAGTACAGAGGGCAGAGGAGGACAGTTGTTTTCCTCTATGGCTCTCTGCCATATGCCCTTGAGACAAGGTCTCTCATACCCTGGCACTTCCTTTGTTTCCACATGGCTGACCGCTCAGACGGCTCTGGTGACCCCCTGCCTCCATGCCTCCACTAAACATTTTATGTGTGTTCCAGGGACCCAAACTTCGGACCCCATACATGTACAGCAAGTATGTTACTAACTGAGCCATGCCTCTGGCCCTCAACGTTATTATATCATTAATGCAGTCTGTTTAATTTTTTGTTTAGATGGCATAGAGCTGTGTCTACCAACTTAGCTAAACAAAATGTATTGGTCCCCAATGAGGAATCACTGAATGAAAGTGACTTGGAGTTTCCAGAAAGCCAAAATTATCAGAAAAAAAACCTGATGGAGAAAATAAAGCATGCTTTCGGGAAAATGCTGCCCTGCAAATGTGGAAGCCAGTCAGCCCGTGCCAGCAGGGAGAGCTCTGCAGGGCAGAGGGAAGCCGCCCTCTCCAACACACAAGGCCTGCTGCCTAGACTTGTCAAGGAGCTTCCATCCCCCAAGTTGTTTACCAAGCCGAGGATGAGGAGGCTCTCACAGAACGGTAACCCACAGCAATTTAATATTAAGCAGCCAAGAGAAGCAGTAAAATGAGGATGAATTGTAGTTTGGATCGAATGTCCCCAAAGACACTTGCATTGGCTTGTCTCTTTGGGTGTTGTTATCAGGAAGTGGGGTTGGCGGGGATTTCCCACAGTCATTGGAAACGTGCCCTAGAATGCAAGATCCAACGGACTCCCTGTCTTCCTCTTTGGCTTCCTGGTCAGAAAGTATGATTTTGCTCCTTTACATTCTACCCACCACTGCTACGGAGGCCTAAAGGCACTGGGTCTGCTGGGTCATGGGCTGGAAAATTTGAGGCCTGAACCAAAAGAACCGTTTCTCTTCATAGGCCAGTTATCTCAGGTATTTTGTGACAGTGACAAAAAGTTAACCTTCTATGGCAATCCTGAGGAGCTTGTCTAAAACGCAAAATCTCGCTCCACCTGGTTAGCTGAGCCAAACTCTATACTCTAGGGTGATTGATTTATGTACACAACTTAATATATGCATAAACTCTGAGAAAATAGATTGTATTGTTTTCAAGGTTCCTCTGAGTCTAGTTAATAAGTTATCTAGTCATTCTAAACTCACTTTGTTTTTTGTTTGTTTTTCAAGATAGGGTTTCTTTGTGTAGTCCTGGTTGTCCTGGAACTTGCTCTGGAGTCTCACAGAGATCTGCCAGCTGGGATTAAAGACCTGAGCCACAATTGCCTGGCTTCTAACCTCACTTTTAATTTAAATGCATTTGCATACAGATGCATAAATGTGGACATGTAATAGAAAATCAAACTATAATAGGATTCTTGCTTTACTTCTAGAGGATTTGTAATACAGCCTTTCAAAGAGCTAGTTCCAGCAGCAAAGGGTGTACAGAGAATTAGGGGAATGAAAGTTATAGTTGGCAAGACATAAATGAGGCTTGGTTTTCATTCATATAATTTTAAATTTTATTGGTATGAGTTTTATATTTTGCCTGCATATATCTTCTGTGCTCCACATGCTTGCTTGGTGTTCTGCAGAGGCCAGAAGAGGGTATAAGATCTGCACGCATTTGACGTTGTGAGCCACCATATGCCTGCTGGGAACTGAACCCAGGTCCTCTGAAAGGCAGCCAGCGCACTTAACCACTGAGACCCCTTCCCCACTTCCCACAGACTCTCCTATTTTCATGTCGTTCATGTGTGTGTGTGTGTGTGTGTGTGTGTGTGTGTGTGTGTGTGTGTGTGTATGTGTGTGTGTATAGAGTTAGAGAGAGAGAGAGGGACCTGCTGAGTTTAATTAGGGTTGTTTGCATGAACATAGGTGGAGTTTTATTTGGATAACTTATTTAGTGGCTATGCCTTTGAAGAAAGTGACACTCCCTCTCCCAGCAACCAGTGATTCCTGTGTGTATATGAGGGTAGGTAATGAGTCCCTCCCCACCTGTAACGCAGTGTTGGTGGGCTCAAAGACAATATCCTGTTGAGAAAGTCCATCAGGATACAGAGAGCCGAAAGTGCTCTACCACTAAGCTGAATCTTCAGCAAAAGGAACCAAATCTCTACCAGTCTGTGTGCTGTTTTTATCTTGGTTGGGATACTCAGTCTTTCCACTAAGATTTGTCCACTAAGAGTGCCATGTACAGGGGGGCACTTGCTGATCAAGCTAGGCCTGCTGGTGGCAGAGCCACAGATATCCATGTGTTTGAACTTCTCTGTCTTTTTCACAAGGGCTGTGAGGTCGGAACCAAGGTCCTCACATTGTACAGCAAGCTTTTTATAGACAGCTCTCTTCCTAGTCCTAGATTTATTTCTATTTCACATTCATTTTAACAATATTTATGATACTGGTTTCAATTGAAAGCATTTTTGTTTTGTCTACCAAGGAAAAAAGATCCTTATTTTGTGATTAGGTTATAACAAAACGGGTTTCACTGTGACATGTATACACACACACACACACACACACACACACACACACACACGCACACACACAGTGTGTGACAGTGCTCCAATAAAAGTTTATTTACAGGTACAAGCCACGAACTACTTTTTTTGTTGACCGTATCTTAAGTCAATTAAACTAATGGATACGGAAGGAAACTTATGTATGCACCGCACAAAGGAGCAAGTGTTCAACAAATATACTGTGAATAAAAATTATCATCAGTTAGACACATACCCATTTTAAAGATACAGAGATGTGGTACCACAGATTCCATAGTCTAAGGATACACATACTGTCTTTCTGACTTCTTAGATTCAACAGAAGTAAGTGGCAATGGGATAATGAGGGGCACAGGAAAGAACCAAGTATAGAAGTTGGATGAGGCTAAGTGAATGTCTCCACACTGGTAGTCACCTACAGAGAATGCTACTGAATGCTTGTACCACTAAAGTTGGGGATGTTGCTCAAAATATTGTCAAGTCAGAAGAGCACTGCATTGTTTTTTTTCTTAAGATATAAACCAAAATGAGAAGTTTTTAAATGATTATCTCTCTCTTGAAAGATGAGCTTCACATATCTCTTAAATAATAGGTTTGAAAAAGCCACCTTCTGGCTCTCAGCCTCAGTTCTGCTTCTTGCCCAGAAGCTGGGATACTCTCATCCTTGTTAGTCTTCAGCCAGACAGGCTGGTCAAACCCTGACTACATGTTGTCTGCTTAGAAGCATGTGTTTTATCTTGGGATGAAGCGGCTGGTACTCTCTTGCTTTGTTTTGTTGATGTTTTTGTACTTCTGCTAAGGGAGTTTCTATTCCATCCGCACTAATTTTAGTTAAACCTTTTAATTTCATGCAAGCTCTTTGTCAGTTTTTGTGTAATTCTCCCATGCTATCAGAATTGTATTCAGGAAGACCTTCCCTATGCCAATAACTTGAAATGTTTTGCACATGTTTTCCTGTAGGAGTTTCACGGTTTGGGATCTTCGTGATCTTTGATCCATTTTGAATCTGTTGTTATGTATTGGGAGATTTACAGATTTGGTTTCATTGCTTTCAATGTAGATATCCAGTTTTGTTGAGTAGGCTTGCTGGTTTTGGGTGGATGTTTTTGACACTTTTGTTAACTATTATGTGGCTGTATTTATGTGGGTGCGTTTCTGATCCTCCACTGGTGAGTCTGGTTTTGTCACTATGGCTCTGGAGTGTAGATTGAGATAAATATCAAATGACTCCAGCTCTCTTTCTGCTCAGCTGGGCTACTTGGGCTATATGAATTTTAGGATGTTTTCACCCTGCCTGTGGAGAATGCTATCAGAATTTTGATGGAATTTTTTTTGCTGAATCTATATAAGATTCAGCAATAGGGGCATTTTCAGAATATTAACTATAAAAATCATAAGCATGTGTGATGGTTATCCTTGGTTGTCAACTTAACTGCCTCTGAAATCAACTAAAACCCAAGCAGCTAGGTGCACCTGTGAGAAGTTTCTTCTTAATTAAATCATTTGAAGTGGGAAGACCCCCTTTTAATCTAAATATTTTGAAGTGGGAAGATCCACCTTTAATCTAGGTCATACCTTCTTGTGGCAGCCTACATAAGAAACATAGAAGGAACTCCCTGCTTCTCTTTGCCTACTTTCCCTTGCTATGACTGGCAAGTCCATTACTTCACTGGCAATAGAGTCTATGTCTTTCGGAACAACTGGACTCTTTGACTTTCTGTTGTTAGACAGCCAGTGTTGGACCAGCTGAACCATAGCCTGTAATGATGCCCCCATCACCATATATATATATATATATATATATATATATATATATATATATATATATTTCTATCAGTTCTGTTTTCTTCAGCAGTGGTTCTCAACCTTCCTGATGCTGTGACCCTTTAATACTGTTCCTTGTGTTATAGTGACCCCCAACCATAAAATTATTTCATTACTCCTTCATAACTGTAATATCCGATATGCAGAGTATCTGATGGGGTCATGACCACAGGTTGAGAAACACTGCTCTAGAGACTCCTGATGAATACAGTGAGGAATGTGAATTCTTCAATCTATTCTTTAGTGTTTCAAGGTTTTTACGGTGGAACACTTTCACTCAGTTTAATTCTTATATATTTACTGTTCTTCGTTTGTTCATTTACTTGACACAATTGTGAACGGGAAATTTCCCTTCATTTCTTCTTTGACAAATTTGTTATTGGTTTATAACCCATCAGCTACTGATGTTTAAATTTTTACTTGTCTGCTTATTTATTTACTTTTGAGCAGCGTCTCATATATGGTAAGCTGTGTTTAAATGCTGAGGATGGCAGATTTGTGGGTCCAGGCTTGATCCTGCTGACTGTAGGTTCAGGGCTGCCACTGAGGACTGACTACCTTTCCCTGTGCACTTCACGGTCCGAGCCAAGCTCTCTGCCAGAACTACCCACACTTTTCAGTTTGTCAGCATTGCTTCCTTTGCTCTCCACAACAGCCTCCCAGGGTTGCCTCAAATTCTTGAGGCTGTGGCGGGTTAAATTTAGGCTCTTCTCAGAGCCCCAGGGTAGTTTAATTTTAAACAATGATTCCTCACCAGTGCCTTTGAAGTGATATAGGGTAGAAAAACTAGAATTCCTCTCAACTGCTCTCTTGTTGATAAAGGAAATCTGTCTCAACAAAACCTATAATGTTTTTGACACTTGTGAGGACTGCAGGCCTATCTGGAGGAGGAGTGCTCATTTCCGTTCACCAGGGTTGTCTAGGTTAGCTTTGAATGACGCTTCTGCTTCCCCTCCCTCACTCCCAATGGGCATCTGGAGCTGGAGCCTGTGTCCAGCTTGGTTTAGTCCTTTTTGGTATATTACCAGACATTTTCAGGGTACGTTTTGGCTGTCTTTTGTGAATTTCTTCAATGCTCCTCTCTGTCTGTTTCATAGTCTAGCTCTTTTCCTATACCAGGTCACATGGAGACAGGTCCTAGTTGGCCATCTTACCTATTAGTCTCTATGGTATCACTTTGTTAATTTATTTTACTACATTTTTATATTTGTATTTTTACTTTTATGCATATGGATGCTTTACTTGCGCATTCATCAGTATACTGTATACTGTGTGCCTGGTATCTGCAGAGGCCAGAAGACGGCATCAGAAGACCCTGAAACTGGAGATGGTTATATGCTGTGATGTGGGTTCTGGGCATGGAACCCAAGTCCTCTGGAGGAAGGGCCAGTGTTTCTAACAATTGAGCCCTTTCTCCAGCCCCCCCTATTCATTATGGAACTAAAAGATGGCACCATGCTTTGTGAGTAGACTACTCTTTCAGACCTGAGTTCGGTTTCCAACTTTCATGTTGGTAGGCTCACAGCTGCCTGTAACCATGGCCCCAGAGGATATGACGCCCTCTCTGTCCTCTATGGGCCCTGCACGTCCATACCCCCCACACCCAAGCACACATTAAAATAAAACACAACAAAATCTCTGTGTGTGTGTGTGTGTGTGTGTGTGTGTGTGTGTGTGTGTGTGTGTGTGTGTTCCTGTGGAGGTCAGAGGATGCGGGAATTGGTTCTCTCTTTCAACCGTGTGGGTCCTGGAGATTGAACTCAGGCTTCGGTGGCAAGTGCCTTTACCTACTGAGCTGTCTCACTGGCCCTCTGATAGCATTTTAAATTTGCCTTCATAATGTCTGCTGAGTTGAGACTGAATTCAGAGAAGAAAATAAGAATGCTCCTCATTGGAACTGTTGAGACGTTCAGAGGTAAAGCACACCTGCTGCTTTGCAGAACAGATCTTAGCATCCACATGGGGCTCATGGCAGTCCAGGGAGTCTTGATAGCGTTTTCTGGCCTCTGCGGGCACTACACACTTGGTGCATTTGCATATATTCAGGCAGAACATAAAAAAATTTAAAAATAAAAAACTCAAACATAAACAAACGCTCCTAGAAACAGGGCATCCATCTAGATGGTAGTCAAGTGACTGAGTCTTGGCTGCATCTCTGGAGAACAAAGGAAAATTTGCTTTGTTACACTGATTTAACCCTCATAGTTGAAGGTCCCTTTTCCTACTTCCATCATGGCCAAAGTGAAAACCACGCAGGGGAAAGGAAGCATCCAGGAGAGCTAGTCACCATGTCAAGATTATGGCTACTACAAGAGGCAAATGTGTACTAACACCAGAAAAGCAAGTCTGCTTTTTAGGCTGTATAGCAGTCTATAACACCACTTTCCACAACTATCGTGCTCAGGAAGATACTGTTTGCGATCGCGAGCCTCACATACTCTTTCCTCCTCCTCTTTAAGCAACTATACAGCTCGATGTTGTAGAAGCAGAGGCGGAAGAGGTAACAGGAGGAAACCGGCTCCTCCGAGCCAGAAGAACCACCAAGCGGTTATCTGTGACTTCACTTCCTTCGGGGCTGCAAAAGGTAAGGTGATAGCTTCAACTTGCCTTGAGGGAACTACACAAATCGGTTCCTTTGGGTCTTGCCAAAAACAAAGTTCTCTTTTACCTTCACTCACCAGTATTACCCCACACATCTGTTGTGTCCTTCCACCAAGAATTTAAGGCACAATATATTTTTTCAAATCAGATCCTTTTACTTCTGACTCAGCTGTTCAGCTCCTTCTACTGCTTGGTCTATACCTGAGTGTGGACTTACTGAATTGTTCAAAAGTTGAAGTCACACACTAGGAATCTGGCCAATCCAGATAGTAAGTGTTGTTGCCTAACAGTAACTCCTCAAAGGCATCGTCATTCATCTGATAAAGTAGCTATTAGTCACATAAGCCGTTGGAGAGTGAAATGTGGCCAGGGTAAATAGATAACTGAATTAACATTGCTTAATTTTAATTTAAACTCAAAAGTGAATTAATTCAAATGGCTACATTTACAACATAAGGCATTATCATGGCTTAGATGATCCAGGAATGTCCAGCCTGCAGACAAGCTGAATGCAGCCTAGAGTAAACTCAAATTTGCAATCTTTAAGCATTGATGTTTTTTCTTTCTTTATGTGGAATGCTCTGGCATGTTGTTATGCATATATGTGTGTGTATGTGGGAGGCAGGGGACAACCTCTGCTGTATGTGTGCATACACATGTGTGTAGACAACCTCTGCTGTATGTGTGCCTGTGGGAGACAGGGGACAACCTCTGTAGTCTACATCAGGAAATGTTCATTTTGCTCTGAGACTTGGTCTTAGCTCAGGGATTAGGCAAGGCTGCCTGGTCACCAAGCCTCAGATACCTGCCCGTGTCTGGTTCCCCAGTGCTGGGATTATGAGTGCACCACCATGCCTCGATTTTTTTTTTTAACTTGGGCTCTCAGGATTGAATTCAGGGCCTCAGGTGCACAGCAAGCACTTTACCTACTGAACTCTCTCTCTCTGTGATTTATTTTGTACCTTAGTGGCTTGGTTTTCAAGTGTAGACTTTGTAGGCAATCCTGCATCTAAGCCAAAGCTATCTTTATTTTATTTATTTATTTATTTATTTATTTATTTATTTATTTTTGGTTTTACGAGACAGGGTTTCTCTGTATTGTTTTGGAGGCTGTCGTATTTTATTTTTATTACATTAGTTTATTCTGTGTCAGGGGAGTGGTGCACAAACCAGTTGTGTGTGTGGAGGCCTGAGAACAGCTTGCCTTGGTTGCCTTTCTCCTTTCCCCATGTGGGCCTTGGAGGCGCTAACTCAGGTCCTCAGGATTGATGGTTCATCTGACTGACCCTGATCTTCAGAAGTGTGAGACTAAGGTACTCAGATTAGGGACAGAGTCTCACTATATCGCCCTGGCTGGTCCTGAACTCACTATATGGACCTAAGAGATCTTTGAGCCTTTTGCCTCCCGAGTACTGGGATTAAAGGTGTGTGCTACCACATCCAGCTTGGTCTTGTTTGGATGGTTTGAGACAGGATCTCATTTTGTTGCCTTGTCTGGTTTCAAATTCTCAGAGTGCAACAATCTCCCTGCCTCAGCTTCCTGAGTCTCAGATACTGTGGGCATCCCCCTTCCTAGTTGCTTAGATTTTTAAAAACAGAATTCTGAACTATTATTTTTATAATAACCTCTTATTTAATGCTGGCACTCAGTTCCTGACTGTTCTAAGTACTTAAAAATGTCAACTCAGAAAATGGCTACAATTCTATAAGGTAGAGGTGACTCTGGGAGTTTGTTAACTTGTGAAAATGAGTGGGAGAGTCAGGTTTCCAACAAAGGCTGAGGTTCTCATTCATATTCTTTCTCTCTCCCACTTCCTTTTATCATGGTTCTGGGAATTGAACTCGGGCCTCACAGCTAACAAGCATCTGCTCTACAGATGAGCCAGACTCCTCCCCCTCCCAAACACATTCTTAAAAACCGTGCAATGTTATTCCATAACCACCTGTGACTGTATTAATTCAAATTAGATGGCATTACTTGTGGTTTCTCAGGATGGGTGTGGTGGCACTCACCTTTAATCTAAGCACTTAAGAGGCAGAGGATGGCAGATCTCTGAGTTGGAGGCCAGCCTGGGCTACCAAGCAGGACAGCCAGAGCTATACAGAGAAACTCTGTCTCAAACAACATCCCGCCCCCCCCCGCAAAAACCCACATAACAACAAAAAAATCAACTGCATCTAGCTGCTGTGTCTTTCTGTGAACAGCACAGATAAATATTTCTACCCCTGCAGAAGGCAGAGGTTCTGTTAAGCAGTACTCTTAACAATCACTGCCAGTGTACAATACCAATTTTGAATTTTGTTTTAGGGTTGCCAGTTATTTATTGAGCCTCTATTCTAGGCAACTTCTGGGTTTGAGAACTAAAGGGGTGATCTGATGGATATGGTCTTGCTTTTTATGGAAATTACAGTCCAATAAAGGGTGAAATTATTAAACTGTAGAGCAGTGGGGTAAGGATAATCTTGAATAATGGCAGTAGATCAAATGGATATATGTATAGGGAAAGTCTCACATCATAGACCAGTCCAATTCCTGTTGAACTATAGAGTTAATTGGGAAAGGCAACATATAAAGCTTCAGAACAATAAGATCACTATTTCAGGTCAAAGTCTTCTCAGGATATATGACACTGATGAGACGATGGAAATTTTTGGCTATAATTAAGGACTCCTGCACACCAAAAGACATCAAATCAGAGGTTGTCAACTGTTTTAGAAGAGTTTTATATAGCCCTTACAATGCTACCCAAACTAATTACTTGTCCAAATTTTAGAAATAAGAGATTTCAAATAAAAATACAGGTTTCCAAATTTCTCTTGAAAAATTGTAAGCTTTAGAAACACAATGCTTCAGGGAAACTAGCAGGGACAGGAAAGAGGTGCCCTCCACAGAAGGCCTGTTCTCTCTGGGCCACTCCTCATTCATCGTGGTTTACAAAACCTGCCTCAGCACCCAACTCTGCAGCAGTCATCCTGAGCAAGCACAGGAAGACTTAGTAACCACCATGTACATAGATGCTTAGTAGAAAAAAACAGCTGGGTGTGAGAAGAGGGGGACTTTAGCATGATGTTGTGGTGCATTCAGGAGATAAAGGCAGGAGGGTTTTGAGTTGAGGCCAGACTAGGGTACAGGGTAAGTTCTAGGCTAGCCTGGGCCTACACAGCAAGAGAGAAACAAAACCCCATGGTCCCCCAAATGGGATCTTTAGGTGGATCAGGGAAAGTTCAGTATGGGTAAGCTGGCAGGGGAGGGATGGTTCTGCGCCTCTTTCCAAGGGTAGAACCTAAACGTGACCCACAACCTGTTCTCTGTGCAGCTGCCAGCCACGCACAAGGGGATGGGGAATGCAGTCAGCAAGTCTCAGCACCCAGGAAAGGTTTCCCACAGGCACTTGTAATAGGAAGCCAGGGACAAGGAAAAAATGTCAGGCATTGGCACAAAGGATCCGGGGCTTCTTTATGTCTGGACTGCTGGGGAAATAAGGAGACACAGAGACACACACGCAAACAAGCAACTGGACACAGCACAAGGAGCTCTCTGTGCACCAGCCCATGGCAGCCCAGCACTCTGTGAGCTCGGCAGCCATAGCAAACCCTTCTTTTCCAGTGACCTGCTTCTTTGCTGACACTGTCTCTTCTTTCAGAGCCCAGTAGTCTCATCTCTCCGCACCCTACAGGACTCTTCAAAGAGAGCTCTGGGCACAAATGAAACACATGGAGTGCAGAGAACATGAATACAGATTTCACTTCTGTTACCTGGCCAACAACCACTCTGTGGAAATGCCCGAGGTTGAGTGCTGATTGCTAGTGTAGAACTGAAAAGTTATTTCCTAATGGGACGCTTTGCATTTTGACAATAGGTACCATATTCATCAAAAAAGAGACCACACTTTCCAGCACTTAAAAAGAAGAAACGGAGCATGGAAGGCATCCTCCAGAAACCAGATCCAACAGTGGGAAAGCTTCAATTGCAGGTTGTAGGGTCATGGGGTCGTGGGCAAAGATGGCTCTTTGGTGTTTCTGAGACACCAGAGAGCAGGCTTAACTCAGCAGCTTGCCCTGTAAGACAGCATGGAGCAGGGCATAATTATCAATCACCATTAAGAAATACTATCAGTGATGGGCTTCTGAGAGTGGCTAGGGGACCTAGGATGACACAAGTGCCTAATAAATATTAAGTGAATTCCATTAAAACAGGCACACACAGGCTTGAGAAGAAATGAGGTCGTCTTAGCCCTGTGTGGTAAATCTGTTTTCAAGCTCTGTTTGTCAGGGAGCTGAATTAGAATACTACTTTGGCACTCTCAGGAAAACCAACCATGTCTTTGCTTTTAGCAGTTTCATTTCTTTGTATCTATCATAGGTGGATGACCTCATAGAAAGAGTGACTGACAAATCCATGAAGCTGCTGGCCCAAAGACATGCTGAGCTCCAGCAATGCGAGTTTCTAGGGGCCGAGATCCTTCAGTCTTCGAAGCAGTTCCAAAGGCTTTCCAAGAGAACCACAAGGAAGTACAAGCTGAGGAGGGCATGCTTCCCATGCACCTGCTGCTGCTTCTGAGGACCGAGTTCACAGCCCAGCAGCAAGAGCCTGTCTCAGACAAGGTGGGAGACAAGCAGGGGCCGTCATGAGCCTGACCTATGCTACAGCAGGTGCACTCCTCTCACACAAGCACGTAAGCATGTCTTATACACACAAGCAGGGGCCGTCATGAGCCTGACCTATGCAACAGCAGGTGTACTCCCTCTCACACAAGCACGTAAGCATGTCTTATACACACATGCAGAGAAATACGTAGTTTTAAAAATGACTCTAAAGAGCTTGGTGTTGGTGGCACATGCCTTTAATCCCAGCACTAGGGAGGCAGAGGCAGATGGATCTCTGTGATTTCAAGGGAGTTCTAGGACAGGCTCCAAAGTAATACAGAGAAATTCTGTCTTGAAAAACAAAACAAAAAAGACTCCTAAAGAACAAAAGAGTGGAGAGGAAACATTTATTAGCCACATTTCTCAAGTACTAACAGAGAGATGCAGAAAAGCAATGTACCAGCAATTCTTAACAGTGTGGAACTTTCCCTGTAGTGAACACATACCACACGTATTGATCATGGCCCCTCTAAAGCCTATTCATGGACTTCCTTTTCAAAAGTGGTTCCCGAATGCAATCTTCTTAGAATCCTCAGCTGATCTTATAAGGCAACTGTTACCAGTTACCTAATTTTGAATAAGCAAAGATCCAATTTGAGAAATTTTATTAAATGTTTTCAGATGTTAAATTCTACCTTTAAAGATAAAAATGCATTTAAAAAATACACATACACCAAACACATTTCCTTTGTGAAAAGAAATATGAGTAAGACACAAATTAATATTTAAAAGCAAAGCATTTCACTGCCAAAGTCACAGTCAAAGTTGAAGAATCTCAAAATGACAACAAACTGAACCCTGTGCGCCCACGCAGCATTTCACTGCCCCTGCAAATGGGGATGGCCGCTGTCTAGGGCTTAGGGTCTGCTTCCATGGCACTTTCTTGAGTTTCGTCCACCTCTGACAGCTTGTCGTCATCTGTAGGTAAGAAGAAACAAAACCTCATTCTTTGTGCCCACATTTTATGCCCAGTGCATACATAAAAAGTTTTCTCTTGTATTAGCAAATACACTTAAAACAAGCATGGCAAAATGACAAGTTATGGATGTAAATGACTCAACAGGTAAAGGCACACACATCTTGCTGAGCCTAGTGATTTAGGCTGGATCCTGGGACCCACATGGGGAAGAAGAGAACTGACTGCTACAGACTGTCCTCTGGCCTCCACACCCGTGCCAAAGTCATGTATGCAATCGTCTCCCCCAAACACACAAATAAATGTGACACATTTTTTAAATGCTGGTTTGGCTGTTCTTACTTATTACTAAGAATGCAAAATTTGTGTGATAAATTTCATTAAAAACAAACCAAAATCTAGGTCTTGGTCTTATTTCTTTAAAAAAAACAACTAGACATCAGGGAACACAGAAAATTCCAGTTGGCTATAGTCACAAAAAAGACCAAGTCTTCAAAATCTTAGAGTACCCCACGTACTAGGCATGTAGGCAGCCTAACATACTGCTGACATACAGTAATACTTCCAATCATCCTTGAAGTTTTCTTACCACTAGACATGTATGCAAAGCACAGATTACAACATTCCTGCTCTTCTTTTTTTTTTTTCTCCAAGACAGGGTTTCTCTGAGTAGTCTAGGCTGTCCTAGAACTCACTCTGTAGACCAGGCTGGCCTCGAACTCACTACCACCTGGCTAGCATTATCACTCTTCTGCATACAAACACAAAGTCGAACAAACGAGTGTTTTCTAGTGCCATCCAGTTATACCACGAGATTCTGGAGGCAGACTCTCTAGCCAAGATATTCTTCTAAAAGACATATACCCTAAGACTTTAAAATCTTCATAGGCAGTAATTTCGAAATTTTTTTTTTACTTACTCTCCAATGTTTGTTGAAGTTCGTGGATGGTACTAAGAAGAACATGAAATTGTTTCCGTCTCAATTCCAGCTGTTAAAAAGGAAAACAACTTAAATAAGTTGGTCTATACACACGCATACACATGCAGGCACACATGGACACGCACACAGAAGCTAATGGATATATTCAAATACCTTATCTTCAACACTTTCTTTGATATGTGAGAGATGCTCCAATTCTTTGCCTAGAGCCTCTAGCTCCCTGTCAGGGAAACAACAAAACAATACAATGTTATAGTTTGGTACTTAAGGGAAGAGAATTTGTAAATATAATATTTTGGCCACTAAATAATATTCTGAAAATAAAAGGATTTTGAGAGATGGCTCAGCAGTTAAGAGCAACCGCTTCTCTTTCTCTTCTATTCCCAACACCTACATTGTGGTTCACAATTGCCTGACTCTAGTCATAGGGATCTGACGCCCTCTTCTGGTCACCATGGGCATCAAGCATGCAAGTGATTCATGGATACCCATGCACACAAAGCATGCATAATACATAAAAGTAAAAAAAAAAATTATGAGTCAAAGATTTCTGAAATTGAGGATGATCTCTAAGTTGTACTGTATTTATTACAACTTTCCTTTTAGATACAAATTTTTAAAATGACAAGAACATAATAATTATGTAGAGTAAAACCCATAAACAGATACATTTTGTACAGCATCTTCAGTTTTTCTTTTGGTAAAAAAGAAAAATTCTGCCAGTTGACTAACATACTCTATGAACATAATTCCCAGTCTTCTATCTCACATCTATTTCCCTCCAACTCCTACTTAGACACCCTGTGTATCCTTGTAAGTATCGCTGAATGGTGTACAGTATTAGTACATAACAATTGAGAGGCAGTTTCTAATGTTGACAAATGAGATGCGTATGTTTCATAATTTGAAATTCATTAAATGTCCTTTTTACTGTTTATGTCTTAAGCTGTTTTAAAAATGTGTACCTAGCATAGTCTGTATTAGTATTCAATGTTCTGTGATAACAATAGAGTAAAGGACACATATTCATTTCCTTTTGAGGCATATCACATGAATTCATTCTGGGCCTGTAGGTAGTAACACTGGAGAGAGAAGAACCTAATCAGGCAGTGTAAGAATATGCAATACTGAAAATATGACTGCCCCTTCCTTGTAATGTCTGCTAGTGCCTATCTGAAAATGGCATGTGCAGAGTGGATCGTCAACACTTCTGTATCAAGGCAGCTCCCTACAAAGCTCTACACTTACTTTAATGTCTCATGTCTGTCTGGATGATGCTGAATCACTTTCGCCAAAGCATCATATTCTGAAAGACATGAAAAAAGGAGCTTTTTGAACCTGGATTATCAGAACAAAATGTGTAAATGAAAAACATCCACTTTCCTAGATAAATAAATGACAATAATGAGCCAGGTATGGTGGTGCATGCCTTTAATCCCAACACTCAGGAGGCAGAGGCCAGAAGATCTCTGTGAGTTCAAGGCCAGCCTGGTCTACAGAGCATGTTCCAGGGTAGCCAGGGCTACACACAGAAACCCTGTCTCAAAAAGCAAAAGAGGTGATGGAGAGCAGTGTACATGACTTTACAGTGTTCCTTCCACACAGGGATTTTGGCTCTCACTTCTGGTTTTCCATTCATGTGACAAAATATTGGTTGGCAGTAGCATAAATAAACTTGGTATCACCATGATTTGGAAAGGATCTTATTAACTGTTTTATCCCCGCCCTCACCAAACAGAATAAACAGAGGAAAATACAGTGGTTTCAACCTGTGGGTCTCGACCCCTTTGAGAGCTGCATATCAGATGTCCTGCACATCAGATACTTTTTACATTATGATTCATAACTAGAAGAATTATAGTTATGAATGGCAATGACATAATTTTAAAAGCATGAACTGTGTTAAAGGGCCGAGGGTTAGTGTTGAGAACCACTAAGATCTCACATCTACATCTGGAGAACAGCACTTTTCCCTCATTCTAATGTTAAACATTTCAGAAGCTGAAGTGATTTAAAATTCATGTCATTATTTCTACTCTACTGAAATCTCTACACTGTCATGTAACTTCTACTAATCTTTACTATGAAATGATAGATTAATTTTAAAATTTACCAAAACAATGCACAGACATTTTAAATCACTTAGAATTGATATTATTTGTAAATTAGTGTATTTGGTATAAATTAGCCACTGAAACTTCACCACATATCCTGTAACTAGATGCAAAAACCACTTCTTTTTTTTTTTTTTTTTTTGGTTTTTCGAGACAGGGTTTCTCTGTATTGTTTTGGAGGCTTGTCCTGGAACTTGATCGGTAGACCTGGCTGGCCTGGAACTCACAGAGATCCTCCTGCCTCTGCCTCCCGAGTGCTGGGATTAAAGGCGTGCGCCACCAACACCCTGTGCAAAAAACACTTCTTAGAAGGGGGAATTAAAAGTGAGCAGTGGAGCTGGAGAGATGGCTCAGTGATTAAAAGCATTGCCTGCTTTTTCAAAGGACTCAGGTTCAATTCCCAGCACCAACATGGCAGCTCACAACTGTCTGTAACTCCAGTTCCAGGGGATTTGACTCTTTCACACAGACATACCTGCAGGCAAAAATACATACATAAAGTAACGCATGAATGAATGCATGAAAAAATAAATACTGGTCCCAGCACTCGGGAGGCAGAGCCTGGCAGATCTCTGAGTTCCAGGCAGGCCTGGTCTACAAAGTGAGTTCCAGAACAGCCAGGGAGGGCTACACAGAGAAATCCTGTCTCAGGAAAAAAAAGGGGGGTGGGGTGAGGGTATTTTTTTTGTTTTTTGGTTTTTCTCTCTGTGGCTTTGGAGGCTGTCCTGGAACTAGCTCTTTGTAGATCAGGCTGGTCTCAAACTCACAGAGATCTGTCTGCCTCTGCCTCCCAAGTGCTGGGATTAAAGGCATGTGCCACCAACGCCCGGCCTGGGGTGAGGGTAATAGTGTTAAAATACTGAATTGATTAATTGATTAGCTCGCTAAAACATGCAACTCATTGTCCGGAACACATCATATTAATTCAGCAAGGCTGATTTTATTTTAAATAATCTTTTTGCATTATAAACAATATATTTTCAGTATAAAACAGAAATGACGAATCTAAGCCACAAAACCTCACCATCACCAAATAACTAACAACATTTTCTATTTCCATTTAGTTTTTCACAATACTGTCATAGTGATGGCCATCACTTTTTTATTTACTTATTTATGTACTTGTTTAGAGTTAAGTTTCCACTAGACCTAGACTTAGAATTTGTAACCCTCTTGCCTTAGTCAAGTGATGGGATTTCAAATATGTGCCACCAAGGACAGTTTAAACACTGCTCTTTATTTTTACTTCTTTCAATTTATGTAATGGGAGGAGCGATGTTCCTGCCATTATTATCTTTGAGGTTGGAGAGATGGCTCAGCAATTGAGAATATACTGCTGTTTCACAGAACCCAAATTCAGTTCCCAGCACTCATATGCAGCTCACAACTGCCTCAACTCTAGAGATGAGATGGTCACTCCTGGCCTTCAAAGGCACCTGCACTCACATATACATAGACACACATAAAAAAATTAAAATTATTTTCAAATATTTTATGAACCAGATGAAGGCAATTCTAACTTTAAAAGAGATTAGAATAAAACTAAACTTTGGTCTGTTTTTTAAAATATTTACATGTATTTTATTTTACTTTGGTGTTTTATATGTGTGGGAGTTTGTGGCACAGTAAGAGACTCAGTTCTCTCATTAGACCTTGTGGGTCTTAGGGCTCAAACACAGGTGGTCATGGCCACACTTGGTGGCAAGTGCGTTTGTCCACTGTGCCAACTTGCTATCCCCTAAACTTTAACTTCTCTATTAGGTAATTTTGTAGATAATGCTTGCTGTTTTCCATGTTTTGAAAGTACCTTCGTTATATGGGCAAATAAACACCTCAGTGTGTTATATAGCTCACCTTTGCAGATTAACTATTAATAAACCCCCTTAGTCTGTCATAAAGCTCACTTTTGCAGATTAACTGTAACACTGCTTAGGAGAAAGGTCTGAAAATAGGAAAAAAGTCTGAGAAACACTTGGGTAACCAATAAAATTCAACAAAATAAAATTTTTTCTAGCATACCTTTCCTTCTTTATTTTAAGTAACAAGAGTTTTAAGAATTAAATATAATTGCTATTTATTTTTTATAAACTGATTCACAGTGCAGTTTTTACCTTTCACAATTAAAAACTTCATGGAAATTATAGTCGGGAATAAAATATCTCCAAAGTCCTTCATATCATTCCTACCTTGTCGATTTTTTCGTATTCGTTTTGCTTGAAGAATTTGCTTTTTACACTCAGCAATTTTTTCATGTGCTCCCGCAATACTACATTCTATACAAAAAGGTAGTTTTAAAAAGGTAATTATAATAACATGTATAAAACAGAAGTCCCACTGATAACACAAGACACTGCCATTCTACAACACAAGCACTCTATCTTATTACACAGCGCTGTGGCTGCCGACATTACCACTGTAATTTCCATGCAGTTTTACTACAATGTAGATATTCAAACAGCTTCTCCTTCAATCCACAAATGCAGTTATAAAAACAAACATTATTTACCTATTTCTTTGTATATCTTTTCATAATTCTCCATTTCTCTGAGATTCATATCATACACCAGCAAAGTCTTGCCCATTGAAAACTCACACTGGGACAGGGTGCTCAGCATACGCTGGTACTGGCTATATCTGTGAAAAAGAGAGAGAATAAAAAATGTAAACTAAAGGAAACCAAGTTCTGATAACTGTTTTATATAAAATAGCCTAGAACACCAGCTGTTACTACTTCCTTTGCTAGATGTGGTATAAACTGCTCTGGCTAGAAAGGCAAGTTGAGGCTACTGCTCTCATCATACAGGCTCAGTCTAAGCGATCTGTCTGAATTATTTAAATCACCTGTAATAATAGCTGATTAAGAGTTTTCTTCACAATTCTTTTCTCACAACTTTCCTACTCTACACAATCATTTAAGCAGAAAGTAAATCCATAAAAACTTCATAAAATTAATATGTAATCAACTTATATATTAGCTTATTAACAAAAGAGGAATCTTCATTTAGAGATGTTAAGCAAACACTGATTTGCTAAAAGTACTCAAATTACTAAGCCTGAGTTCAATCTTTCTTCCTTCCTTCACTACTATGCTTTCTTCATGTTATAGAGACACAAAAAGGCCTCCAAGAGAAGGTCAGGGCAAAGAATCCTTCCCATCAATCAAGAAGAGGCTGCCCTGGACAGCGAGGGTCAGCGGAGCTGCATGATGCGGCCTTGAGAAGACTCCCCCAGGACAGACACTGGACAGAAAGGGCATGGGGAAAGTACCCCTCCTCTTGGGATCCAGAGTTGCACCATTTGATAAAGCTTTTCACGAGGAGATTAATTCTCCGGTCATCCCCAGCACCATCTCCATCAATCAGAAGACGCTTCCGTATGACTTCGTCTGCAGGAAAAAAGGTGAGAATTAAATGAACATTTGCTTCTAGGTAATTCTCAAGACCACTACTACTACTCACCAAAAGAAAATTACTGAAATATAAGCATATTTAATGCCATTGGCTGAGCTACCACTTAAAAGCAAGAAGGTAAAATTAGTCATTTTATTTGCATCTTGCCACAATTAAAAGTCTTTTTCCCCCCCTCAAAGAAAAGCGATTGTCTGTGGTATGTCTGCCACTGTTCTAGGGGATGAGCTCACAGGTGAAACTTTGCCATCAGAATTGGCATTCTATGGGTTGTTGAGAGTAAATTTTCAGGTACAAAAGGAAAGCTAAGCCAATAATTAATAATTGTTAGGAGAACTAGTTTTGGAAAAAAACCTGTCCAAATGAAGGGGAGCCAGGACCTCACGCATCTCTAGCTAAGTGAGAGGCACTAACAGAAGAACAGACAAGGGAAGGTTCCTAGCATGCAGTATCAAGTTAGAAAAAGAATGACAGGTCAGAGAAATGGAGAAAGCTTCAGGAAGTAACATAACTTGGTTGTTAAGTGCTTTAAAGCATCTCTCTCTAAGTCAGTACAGGTTGGCCTGGACTTCACCAGGCAGCCTCCGCCTTCCACTTGATGGGATGGCAGGTGAGAGTCACTATACCTGACTTCCATGTCTCATTTCTGCCCCAGTGCAAAGAGAAAACAGAACACAAAAGTAATGCAAATGATGACTGGGACACACAGGGTCCAAAGCAGTTTGTCGGCAGTTCTGAGCTACAGTTCTTACCAGGACCAAATAACGCTGGGCCATAATCACAAAGACAAATGGAAAAGAAATCATTCCATCTACCAGATCATAACATGGTAACAAAACTGTAGACAAGATGTTCAGAAACTGTACTTATACATGCTGTTAAACATGCAGGGATACAGATATAATCAACAATGCTTGAAATGGACACAGCATTTGCCCATGCAAGCACAGAATTTTTTTTCCTTTTGGGTTTTGAGACAGGATCTCTCTACACAGCTGTGTCGCTTATTCTGAAACTATGTGGCAGAGGCTGGAGTTACAGGTGTGCACCACCATGCACAACAGATATAAAGAGATTTCTCTAGCAGTGTTGTTTATAGTATTGCAAACCCTCAACAACCTCTTTAGATAATTAAAGTAGCTTCCCAGAAGCAGAGAATGCTGCTGCCCAATGTGTAAGGAAATGTAAAAAAAAGTTGAGCAAACATGTGTGTATACATGCAGAAAATATCTCTGGAGGGATTCATAGGTAATGGACCACATTAATGATTGTTTCTGATAAGGACACTACAGAGATTAAAATGATTTTCATACCATTTTATCATTTTTTGTTTATTTCTGGGCTTTCATTTCTTTTTTAACTAATTTTACAAATTTAAGGTCTGAATAATTTCTGGAGAGCCTGCATGAATCAATAGCAAAGTCTTTGCCAACAGCTCCTGTGTGTGTGGGCACAAGTATTTGAAAGCACAGGTGAAGTGGAGATGGCCCAGTGTAGGATATCCAGAGACAGACACTTTTAGGATGGGTTTGTTTAATAGGTTGTTCAAGCACAAATTCACCTGAGTATTTAACTTTAAGTTTCAAAAGATAGTAATGCTTTCAAACTTTAATCACCAAACAATGTTATTTGAAGAGACCCAGATAAATAAAACATAGTCCTTTAAGACATTAAAATGGCCTGGGCCTGGAAGTGGTGGTTGCACAGCGTTTAATCCCAGTACTCAGGAGGCAGAGGGAAAGGCAGAGGCAGGTGGATCTCTGTGAGTTCAAGGCCAGCCTGTCTATAGAGAGAGTTTCAGGACAGCCAGACTGTTACACAGAGAAACCCTGTCTTGAATACCTGCCCCAAGAGATTAAAATGCAGAATATAAATTTTTTATTACAAGCACAAACACACACACAAAGTACACACATTTTGAGACAAGGTCTCACTTTGTAGCCCTGGCTTTCCTGAAACTTGCTATGTAACCCTTGCTGGCCTCAAACTCCCAGCACATGGAGACAGCAGTCTGCTTCTGTCTGTCAAGTGCTGGGAGTAAAGGTAGCCTTGGGGCTGGAGAGCTCAGTGGTTAAGAATGAGTATTGCTCTTCCAGTGCTCAAGCTTGACAATTTACAACCACAGTCACCCCAGCTCCAGGGTTCGATCGTTTCCAGACTCCTCCAGCACCTGCACTCATGCATGCACGAGCTCAGGCACTTGCACACACGAAGAATTAAAAAGATAAATCTGAAGGTGTGTGCTACCATGCACGGCAACTTGACTGTTTAAACACTACAATCTGGAAGTTACAGGGCTATTCAGATGTTTGCTCTTCTCTCTATTCTTCCCAAGCCCTCCCCTCCCCGCTGGATGCTGGGGCTTCCTACATCAGAGTGTGGGACCTCAAATGTAAATGCAGTAGGAAACAGAGAGGAGCCCCCACAGTTACTACCTGGGGTCTAGTGACTAAAACATTTAAAGTCTGCTCTTTAGATCAAAGCATCTTCACACATGAATGAAGTACTCCAATCTGGAAACATCCATAAGCCAAGTAAATCAAATCAACAGCCCCAACCAAGTTGACTTTCCTCCTTATCCCAGGTCCCAGGCTGTCCTCAAAGTATGTACTTTAGCCTAGCCTGGAACGCCCAACAGTTCTTCTGCCTAGACTCCACTGGCTGTTATAGGTGTAATGCACCATGACAGACTTCAAGATCTTTTTTTTTTTTTTTTTTTTTGAGTTGTCTTGGCTACCCTGGAACTCATTTGGCTGACTTTGAACTCACAGGGACACAGGAATCACTCAAACTCTGCCTCCGGAGTGTTGGGATTAAAGGTGGGTTGCCACGCCCAGCCTGACATCAATATTTTAAAATTTTGTTTGTGATGCCTACAGAGGCCTTCTGAAAACCACTGCTTCTATTGAACACGAACAGACTAGTGGCCCTTATTTTCACTGTCATAGCAACAAGTAACTGTACAAAAGGTGTGAACAAAATTTGTACACAAGGCATAAGAGTAAGTTCTGAGGAGGGGAGGCATTTGACTCTCGGTACAGTAGCATCCACATTACACAAGAGTTGTGGACAAGCAGAACAGGTGGGTCTTTATCAGTACGTCTCAAGGTTTCTAACCAGGTTTCATTCAGCAGTATCAAATATAGCTGAATTAAGCAATATGGTGTCATTTATACACCATAACATTTTAATAACAAATGAAAACCATCCCAAATATCTGTAAGTGGATGAACAAGTTAAGTAAATTTTTGTATAAGAACTTGATAAAGCTGGGTGGTGGCGGCACACACCTTTAATCCCAGCCCTTGGGAGGCAGAGGCAGGCAGATCTATGTGAGTTCTCGAGGCCATCCTGGTCTACAGAATTCCAGGACAGGCTGTAAAGCTACACAAAGAAATCCTGCCTGGAAAGAAAGGAAGGAAGGAAGGAAGGAAGGAAGGAAGGAAGGAAGGAAGGAAGGAAGGAAGGAAGGAAGGAAAAAGGGAAGGAAACATGGAATATTATCATACATTTGATACAAAGTAAAATACAAGAGGAAGAATGTATAGTATGCTTTCATTTAAATAAAAATGGACAAGTATATTTACATATGTTTGCATTTGCATAGATACCCTGGAATGATGCTATACAACAAATAAATGGGGTTATCAAGAGAGGGGAAAAAAAAAAGTCAGGGGAGGACAGGCTAGAAGACAGAGAAAAGTATAGTTTGATTTGAATACTAGAAGAGACTCAAAATCTGACAGTTATTCTGTTATACAGGAAAGAATGCTAAAATCTTCCCATCTCATGCCTCGCCAGCAGGTAGAAAGCTGTGTGAGCTCTAGCAGAGTTGGAGGAACAGACACAGTAGCACTCCAGACCAGATGAGGGAGGACAATGCAACCAACAACACAGATGGCAGTTTATAGGTTATATCACGAGAGGATGGTATCTGCTGTAGGCAACTGAGCTATTGAAGGGGCAGGGGCAGAACTATCTGGCAGGAGCAAGCTGAAGACTGCAACTGGGAAAAGCCCACAAGCAAGAAGGCTGGCTAGTCAGGAGGCTTCCAAGCCACATGCAGTTAGGAGCTACGTGGCCTAACAGAGGAGGAGAATCACAGGTCCCAGAAGGCAGGTTAGGACTGCAGGTGGGCAGGAGTGGGAGGGAGTGGGAGGGAGTGGGAGGGAAGGAGGGAGGGAAAACTCCTCTGGCAATGCAGAGGCTTCTCATCTAGGCAGTCTCAGACCCGCTTTGCACTCCAGCCCCCATGCACATTGCTTCAAAGTTCTGGGCCACAAATCAAAACTTGGAGACAATGGTTTTGGTTGTGTATCCAAAGTTTGTGTATGAGCACATGAGATCAACTTGTAACTTCATCTGCAAAGTAAGACGAAAACTATCTAGTTTGTAGGACTGTTGAGAAGCATCTTGAAAACAGAAAGTGAAAGAAAATAATTCCTGTTCATATGAAAATGTCCCAAACACATTATCCCTTTCTTTATCTTAAATTTTAACTCACAACTTGCAATATCCTAAAAACATTACACAGTAAATGACAATACTTAGCTAGATATACAGCTAAGCATCTACGTAGATACTATATATTCAAAATTTTGCCCAGTTATGATTGGCTGTCTCAAACTTACAGCAAGGTCACAGCACTCCTTTCTTAAATGTTTTATGGACAGTTAGTTACTGCCTAGAAAACTAGACAAGAATTACTGCCATAACATACACTTTGTAGAGTATACAATAACAACAAAGAGAGAGGTACATTGCCAGATTGCCAGTTTGAGAATAGCTTCTCCTCTCTTTAGTTCCTAACACACATGGAATGAGCGGGTTTTTTATTTCTAGCAACACTTCATCATTTAGGTCATAATGAACATACATAAAACTTTTTTTTGAGACAGTGTTTCTCTGTGTGTAGTTCTGGCTGGCAAAGATCTCAAACTCAGAGATCCACCTGCCTCTGACTCCAGAGTGCTGGGATTAAAGAAAGGTGTGGGCAACCACCTCCAGGCTCCTAGAACACTTTTGACTTCCTAAATTACCATGAAGCCTTCTGTAAATGATCTGGTTGCTTGTACTAATCCCACCAGGCCTTGGGGCCATTCTATGAAAACAAATATGCAAAAGCAGCTTAGAAACTATTTATTGGTAATAACTTGATGAGAAATTATGATCATATAAAGATAATGTTTACATAAATTCCTATTAGATTTATCATTACATTACCACCACTCATGAGTTATTAAGATGAATTACATAAGCTCATTTGTTGCATTCCTCATGTCAGAACTCCTGTTCTCTCCCTTTATGAAGTTTAAAATCATAAGAATGTTTTTTAAGGTCAACAATAACTAAGAATAAACAAGGTAGTCTGACTCTCCCATGTAAATGTTGCTCTCATCTGAGATACTTATGTCCCATTTGTACAAACTTTTGATGGTAAAACCAAAATTAAGTTGAAAAATTTTAAGCCAGACATGCCTACAATCCCAGTATTTAGCAAGTTAAGCAGGAGGGTTGTGCAATTGCATAATTTAAGCATAAAACTTTGATTTTGTTTTGAAAAGCTATCTTAGCTAAGGAGAAATTATTTAACGGGAGGAAATGTACTGGCACTGGTGATCAAACGTGCTTCCCACTGGGTCACTTGAAGTGAACGCCGCAGCAAACACTTCTACAGTGTTTACTCCATGTGTCTCTCTCACTGAGAAGTGTACTGGCTTAGCTAACAGCCATTCTGTTTCAGAGTTCTTACATGAGATATTACACTGTATCCTTGAAATGACCTGTCAAGTCTGTGCTGTGGTTGTCCATTTACAGATGACTGATATCATCTTTGCCTTCATCGGAAAATATATACTACACTATCGTATAGTTCCATTATTCTGCGATATTGTTTGAGCATATTAAAACCACTTTAAACTTACTAAGTATATGTCTATGGAAGCTGTCAGAGCCAAACAGCTCTGTTGAGTGCAATGCAGAACCACGTCTTCCCCGTCTTCTCACTTCCCATCTGTTGCTCTAGCATCAACACATGTCTGCCGTTCTCTGTGCTACAAAGGGTTCTAATCCAACTTAACACACTTTAAATTATCACCGACAACATAAGCCATTAGAATAATTTAAATTAGCAGTGACACATCTTAACTAGTTTTTGGTTGGCCAAACTTAGGAGTGGCTTTGCCAGAAAAAAGCTGTCCAACTAAGTCACTAACTCAGCAGGACCTGCTCACTGCCCCCTACTTGCTCATCTATACATGGCAGGGCTGGGGATGTAGCTTAGCTCAATGGCAGAGTGCTTGCACAGCATACAGAAGAGTCTTAGTTCAATCCCGCTAACACACACACACAGACACACCCAGACACACACACACACAGACACACACACACCTTCCAGGACCCTGCCCTTCTAATTTCCTTCTGTACCTAGCATCTCATATTTGTTCATTAGTTACTTAGTCCTAACTTCAGTTCAATTTCCTTCCCCCATAACAAGATAGGGAAGGGTAATCAGTACAGATACAGTTCTCCACAGGGGAGTGGAAAAGAGGTTAGTAAAATAACTTCTGTATTTAGAAAGATTTACTGAACATTAGCACGTGTTTAATTCAGTACACTGCCCTTTACTTCCAAAACAGCACTCCGGGGTAGATTTTGTTAGTATCTTAACATACAGAGAACAAAACTGGGCCTCAAAGAAGCTAGGTAACCTCCACAAGGCCAGAGGCTGGTAGTTGTCAAGTGGGGATTCCTGTGGCCCCTAAGGATTGGGGGCTTCAATTGGTAAGTTTGTAACTCACCATTCCTTCCCTCCTCCCACCTGACAAATCCATCACTCCTCTGGAGCAAGGTACAAATTCACACAAGTCAGAAACATAAGATCATCTTTGACATCCCAGCACATCCGACTAGTCCCGACATTCTGCAAGACCTCTGTTCGCTTAGTTCCCTTAGCTGGAGTGCTGGCCTGGAGTGCTGGCCCCATTCCCTAGCATCATGCAGCAGGAGCTGAGCTCGGTGCATGTTAGCCAGTCAGAGATGCCTCAGCAATTGAGAGCACTGGCTGTTCTTGCAGAGGTATGGGTTCAATTCCCAGCACTCTTCTGGACTCCATATGCACCAGACACAAGTGGTACACGAGCACACATGCAGTCAAAACACACACACACACACACACACACACACACACACACACACACATACCTTCACCCCCACCTCACCCCAATTAGTCAACGTTTACAGCCACTCCAAACTGCAGACCTATAGTGCCTGTTGGTTCTAGGTTGCAAACTGTAAGTAAAGCATTGCCTGGAAGTAAGGTAAAGACCTACTGAATAAACGAAACTGGAATAAAATAAGGTTAAAATTCCCCTATGTATCCCTACCTAGACATTTCCTCGAACAGTCCTCAAATGTGGGTCTTCGTTGTTCTTCCCATTTTCTGGATGTCAGTCCACTGGTACCCACAGCTACTGATCACCCTCTCGAGAACCTTTCTACCAAAGCAGGTACCAAAGTAAGCCCTTGCTCCAGTTTCCCACCGCATCTGTCCATCCCTCCCCGAAATGCCCCCTTATTTCTGCTCCCAGTCCACAGACGGCGGCGGTCCACAACCCATCACCCCCAATTCATCCAGGCCTACAAACCACCTTCCCCAACACGTCCTCCTTTAGATGCCGCGGTCTAAACCGTCGGCTTCATTCCACCGGGCGCTTTACCTTGTAAGTCGCCCAGATACACTTCCCGACCGGCCCTCCAGAAGCCCCTAGTCCTTTTGGAGGCTGTCCCCAGCTCGGAGTCCTCATTCCACCGCACTCCGAGCTCCAGGGCCCCCGGGAGCCCGCCGCACGGCCTGCGGGCCCGACCCAGCCCGGCCTGGGAAGCCCCCCCAGCCGGCCCCCTCGGCGCACTGCATCTCCCGGGCTCCCCTGGCTGCCCGGGCTCGGCGCCCGGCCCTCCGCCGCTCCCGGCCGCCCCGGGAGCCCCCACCCGGGACGGCCCGGATCCCGGCGCTGCCCCGCGTCCCCGCACCCCGCGGCGGCCTCACCGTCAGTCACGGCTCCCATGGCGTGCGCGGCGGCGGCGGCGGCGGCGCGAGCTGAGGCGGCGGTTGGCGGCGGAGGTCAAACTCCCACAATGCAGCCGGGTAAACAGTCATGGAGGAGGAGGCGGCGGCGCCCGCGGCCGCCCTCTCCGACTCCTGAGTCGCGCCGCGCCGCCGCCGCCGCCGCCGCGGGACCCGCGCTGCCGGCGCTCGCTGCTCTCCCCGGGCGCGGAGCGGCCGGCGGGTGAAGGGCGAGGCGGGCGGCCGGCGGCGGCTCGGCCCGCGCACCCCGTCGTCCCGCCCGGCCCGCGCCACAGGCCGCCCTGGAGGCCGCGGCCAGCCGCCAGGTGAGCTCCGGGCTGCGCGCGCTCGGGGGGCTCCGCGCCTGCCGCTCCGGGTGACCGCCGCCCGCCCCCCCGGGCCGCCGGGTGCCGCTCGCTCGGTGGGATGGGGCCGCGGCGACTGCCGCCCAGTTGGCGCCCACGCGCGCCGCGGCCGGTCTCGAACCCGGGTCCTTGAGGCGGACGCGGCAAGCCATCCTCCCTTCCTGAGCTCTGGCAGGTGCTGCGAAAGTGGGGGAAAGAAACTTGGGGACCTCTGGGAGGACTTTGCTCAGGAGCAGCAGCCTACTCCCTGCGGTCCTCGCCCCTCACCCAGTTCTCCCACGGTGTCGGAATCCAGATGGGGTGCCTTCGTTTTCATATTATCTTTGCTTTTCAAAAAACGCGTCTTAAAGGGAAGTTGAAAGTAGAAGGCGTTGGGGGAGGTGGCGCTGCTCATTGAAAAACGTTGCTTGGGGTGGAGAACACATATTTCCGGAGCACACTGCAGATTATATTGCTATCTTTTCTGGAAAAAAAAAAATCACTGAGATGAGTGTCTCCTGAATGGAACCATGGTTGATTTCATGTCCAACTGGACAGCGTTACACCCAGAAGCGTGCTCGACGTTGAAACCCAGGTTTTCGCTGTTTTCCAGTTTTCGTGATTCCCAAGTCCCTTGCATCGCCAGATCCTGCATAAAGCAATTGTGTGGGGGTCAGTTTGGTTGTTCAGGCTGCTTTTCTGAAGTAGGGTCCATGCATCTGCCCTGAGTTCCCTCAGTTCTTTAGCAGAAAACTTGGAACCATTCAGTGTATGTTAGTGAACTGGTTCTTGCCTCTTCGCAGACCTATATGTCAAGTACATTACTGACTTTTGTCACAGAGGCAGAAATGATCTTGAATGAAAGTTTTCAGGCCTAACTGACCTCTTCTAAATGCTGAAGCTGCGGTTCTTGACTTTTTGAAAGTGTTGGCTAAAGGCTGTTCATAACTTGGACTTTGGACCTGTTCATTTCCTTGATGTAAGAGGAAGGATAATAGCAATATTAAATTCAGCAGGGTGGTGGTAGTCATGCCTTTAATCCCATCTGGCCTGACAGGTCTGTGAGTTGACGATAATCTGGGTCTAATTATGAGTTTTTGGGCTGCAAGGGCTGCATAGGTGACCCAACATTTTGGTAGGGAGATTTCTTGTTTAAAGAGAAGCTGTCATGTAGTGAAAGGATGCTTTTAAAAAGCATGTCTTGATCTTATCTTGCTGACTTAAACGGTATCTAGAGATGTCAAATAGTTGTTAATGTTTTCATAAGAAAATTGCACTGCCCTCGATGATTTACACTTCCATGAGACACTATCAGGTTTTCACAGAGGAGCCATGAGCACTTTCATAAATTCGTCTGATCTCTCACAATTTTGTTAATCAGGGCCACAAACTTTTTTTGTTTGTTTGTTTGGTTTTTTTGAGACAGGGTTTCTCTGTATTGCTTTGGAGCCTGTCCTGGAGCTCACTCTGGAGACCAGACTTGGCTTCAAATTCAGAGATCCACCTGCCTCTGCCTCCCTAGTGCTGGGATTAAGGGCGTGTGCCACCAATGCCCAGCAAGGCCACAGACTTTTTTAAGTAATAAAGCTGTAAGTAATGCTTGAAAATAAACATTTCTGAACATTGTTGGTTCAGCTGATGGGAGAGCCAGTGTTAGAAAATGTCTGAGCCCCCGGCGTTGGTGGTGCACGCCTTTAATCCCAGCACTTGGGAGGCAGAGGCAGGCGGATCTCTGTGAGTTCGAGGCCAGCCTGGTCTACAGAGTGAGTTCCAGGACAGCCTCCAAAGCCACAGAGAAACCTTGTCTTGAAAAACCAAAACAAAAAAAAAAAAAGAAAATGTCTGAGCCTCTTGAAGTCTCTGGAGTTTTTTCTTCAAACCATCTAATTCTTTATTGCATTGACAAGAATCTACGAGTTGAACATATGAGAATTTCTTTTATTATGTGATATACATTGAGAGAACATCTTGCAGTGAATTTTAGAAATGATCTTTTCATATGCTAATATTAAAGTAGGCTGGACCCAAGCTCATGTTTCTTTCCTTCCTCCCTTCCTCCCTTCCCCCCCCTCCTCCCTTCCCTCTTTTCTTAAGGGAAATCTTGACAGGCAGAAACTCAGAACTGGGACATAATAAGCTTTAAGCTTCCAAAAGGCTGACTTGAACTTACAGACCCAGTTAGTTGCTTTTTTTTTTGAGACTGAAATATTAGCTAAGGAAGTTAGTGTATTTATTGACTGACAAGTGAGCCTGTGGTTTGGTCTGTGTCCTTGGTCCCCTAGTTGGGTTTCTACCGCTGCAGTAAGCACGGGACCGCCTGCCCTGGAGTGGTGCCTCACGCAGTGACACAGGTCTCACTCGTCAGCCACCAGGCAGAAAACACACCACAGACTGGACCACAGGCCCGTCTCCTGTAGGCATTGTCTCAGTCAGATGCCTTCTTCCCAGGTATGCCAAGGTTTGTGTCAAGTTGTCAAAAACAACCAAACAAGCATGCTGGGGTGGGGGTGGGGGTGGGGGTGTTAGACATTTCTCAAGTTCGCTTTTAGCTCAAGAGTTATTTGGCCTGTATATCCATCCTTAGGCGTCTGCAAGTATCAACCAATTCTTTAAATATATTTGTTCATTTTATTTTGCCCGTGTTTTGCCTACATGTATATTTGTATACTCCTACCACAAATGAGTTTGGTGCCTGTGGAAGTCAATAGAGGCCATTGGATACCCTGGAACTGGAGTTACAGATGGTTGTGAGTCACCTTATGGATACTGAGAATTGAATCCAGGTCCTTTGCAAGAGCAACAAGTGTTCTTAACTGCTAAGCCCTGTAGTTGTGACTCATACTTTTTGTTTTATGTATATTTTCTGCAAATAGGATATAAAGTTATAAATCTAGATTTTAAAAAATTGATTCATCTTTTTACTAAATAAAATGGAACAATTATTCAAATATTTTAGTTAATATTCATGTGTGCACATAATGTGTTTTCATCAAATCCATGCCACTACTCTCAAACCTCCTCCTTTTTCCTCCAACTTCATGTGCTCTCTCTCTCTCTCTCTCTCTCTCTCTCTCTCTCTCTCTCTCTCTCTCTCTCTCTTCTTTTGTTTTTGTTTTTTCTAGACAGGGTTTCTCTGTATTGTTTTGGAGGCTGTCCTGGAACTCTGTAGACCAGGCTGGCCTCGAACTCACAGAGATCCACCTGCCACTGCCTCCCGAGTGCCGGGATTAAAGGCGTGCACCACCGGACGGCTCATGTGCTGTCTTTTAATATTTACTTATTTTTACTGCAAGTGTTAGGTGTCTTACCTGCATGTGTGTCTGTAAACCATGTGTATGCCTGATGCCCACTGGGGCCAGAAGAGGGTACCAGGTCCTCTGGTGCTGGAGCTACAGGTGTTACGGGGTGCCTGCCATGTGGGTGCCAGCAGTCGATGTGGTAGAGATGCAAAGACACTTGCATTTTGTCCCATGGTGAAGCTTTGGCACTTAGTTGGTTGAGTCGTGTACACACAGAAGACAGGCCAGCCTGACATGCTTGTTCTGGCGTCACTGTGACTGGCTTTATTATATCTAAAGGTTTGTACGAGGTAAACTGCAATTGAATAAGCAGAGTTGAGCTTGATGCTAGCTTTTAAAATAAATGGTTGGTTTAACTCTTTTTCTCTGTAGCAATTTTGCAATTTGCCTGGGAGATAATGATGCTGAGGAAGTGTATTTGTGCTCTGTTCGGCAGCAGAGCCCAGTGGGGAAAACACAACTTCTGATTGAAAACATAGTGAAGCTCAAACTTGGTTTCTGCTCTCTGTGTCTCCTCCCTGCTGGCTTCTCATTTCCATCTGGGTGTTGCTTAACTAGTAGAGGAACTCTGAGGGCTAGGAGTTCTCTGCATGAAGTTCTGAGCCCGTTGATTAGCCCACAAGATTAGTTTACAAAACCATTTAAACATTTCTGAGCAAATCTGTACAATAGTGGGATATGCTAGTAATATGCATATTTCCATACATCTTAGGTATTATCATGTAAATGCCTTTTAAAATCATGTTTTCAAAAATAGGAGAGGACTGAGTGATCCTCATAGTGTAGACTCCTATGGGGGGAGGCTGGAAATGCTGCCTTTGCACAGGAAGAGAACAAGGAGCTGCTTTTTCTGTAAGCAAGATTTTTTTTTAACATTTGTTTTTCATTTGTAGTTTAAGTGAAAAAAATAAAAACTACGTTAAAAAATGAAAGCATGTTTTCTGGTTCATCATCCCTAGAAAGGGTGTCATCACCTCCTGTGTTTTGGTTAGAAGGTACCTGTAACTTTCGCTGCCTACCACACTGTGGTGTAAATGGAGTTTGGGATCTCACACAATATAAGCAGTTGGTACCACTGGATTGCACTTCCAGCTCTCTGTGTTTCTTAAAAGACCTTCTGGCTTGGGTATCTGTCTTAGGGTTTCTATTGCTGTGAAGAGACACCAGGACCATG